ATGAATGTCTATGTATGCTTTATTGACCATGCAAAGGCATTTGACAGTGTGGATCACAACAAATTACAGCTAACATTTTGAAGAATGAGAATGTCACAACACCTAACTGTGCTCATGCAAAACCTATATCTAGACCAAGAAACTGTTGTGCGAACAGAGCAAGAGAACACTACATGGTTTGAAGTCAGGAAAGATGAGTGTCAGGGTTGTGTCCTCTCTCCATACCTATCCCATCTGAGCAGATCATTTAAGAAGCTGGACTCTATGGAAGAAGAAAGTGGTATCAGGATTGGAGGAAGACTCATCAGCTACCTGCATTATGCAGATGACACAGTTTGCTTGCTGAAAGTGAAGAGAATTTGAAATGCTTGCTATGGAAGATCGAACAGCTTTTATTTCAACAAGAAAACAAAAATTTGCACCACTGGGTCAATAGGCAGCATCATGGTAGATGGAGAAAAGATTGAATCTATAAATTAATTCATCTTACTTGGATTCACAATCAGTATATTTGGTATCAGCAGTCAGGTTATCAGGAGACATACATACTACACTGGGAAAATCTACCATCAGGGACCTCTCCAAATTACTGAGAAGCAATGATGTCAATTTGAAGACTAAGGCACATCTGATTCAGGCTGTGGTCTTTTTAATCACTTGGTATCTTGCTCAGAGCTGGACAATGAATGAATAAGGATGACAAAAGAATTGATGCCTTTGAGTTGTGGTGTTAGAGAAGAGTTAATGAACATTCTATGGTCAGCCAATAAAACCAAATAGATATGTCTTAGAGAGGATGCATCCACTGTGCTCCTTGGAGGCATAGAAGACAATACTTCACCTCACTTACTTTGGATGTTGTTAGGAGGGGCTATTCATTGGAGAGGGACATCATGCTCAAAAAGGAGGAGTGTGGGCAAAAGAGAGGAAGAAAAACCCTCAATTAAATGAATTGGCACAGTGGCAGGTGCACTGAGCTAGAGAATGTCAGAGATAGTGAGGACGGCATAGGATAGGACAGGGTTCAGATCTCTTGTTCACAGGGTTGCCATGAG